GGAGTTTTGGGGTTCTTTACTTTCTCTATTTTTTAAAAATCTTCTCCTTTCCCTTTGGTCCAGAAATCATGTAAGAACTCTGTTACATCATCCTTTCTGTTTTCTATTTGAATGTATTATCCAGCTGCTTTGTTTTCTTTAAAATGCATTATTTAGTTTTCTGTACTTGCATGGGAGAAGTGTGTTTAGAACTGAACCTCTGAAAGAGATTTGAGAGTAGAGAGTTGAGTCAGAGACCTCAGTCCAAGTCAATTTGCATGGGAGATTCACCGAACTCCTTCTATCATCAGAATAAAATAGCTTCCTCTCCCTTCCCCCCCCTTATTTGTGTGTTATGATTCAGATTAAAGGGAAGATAAATTTGAACAGAAATCAGAACAAGTAAAACTGAAATTATATTTTGCATTCTCAAGGAATTAAGAAAAATGTTTATTATTTATTATTATATATACATATATATGTATATATATAAAACCAACAGCCTTTGTCATCTTTGGCTGGCAGGTGCTAAGGAATAGAAATTAGATTTATAGTCTTAAAATGCTGAAATTATCCAGTAATAGGGTTTTCATGTTGATGCTGCTCTCCTGTAATCTGTTAAAACATAAAAGGCAAGGAAAAAGACATATTAAAAAGCTCTTGTAATATAGCAGCTCTGTCTTTAACTTCTGGTAGTGGCTATCTCTTGTCAACAGAGTACAAATCAATTTAAAGGCAAAAGCCAAACTCTCTCATTTACATACTGTTAACTGCTCTCACTTTTCCTGTTAAACAGGAGAAAAAAGTCATTAGATAGGAGTCAGCTGTCTTATTAGAACTGGAGTGAGGTAGAATGTGAGAAACACCTTTTTAGAATATACTTTTGAAGTTTTTCAGGACAGGGACAACAGCATTGTACCAAGGTTTGTCCATCACTTCAGGTGCTTCTGCTTTTCTTTTCGTTGATGAATTTTCACGTTTTCATTGTCAAATATTACCAAAATGAAGAGCTGCTCTTTAGTTTAATTGTAACCAAATCCCATCAGGCCAGGGGGAGTCTATGAAGTAGCGTAGCTGGCAATTGCCATGCATGCACATAGAGGGAAAAATCCCTGCCGTGACATTCCTTTATGATTAAAACTTTGTAAGAAATCATGAATGAATTATGGAAAAGAAAGCTGGAAGAAATCAGGCTGATTAGTTGAAGGACTTGGATAAAATGACATTTCTGAGACCTTTGTATTCTAAAGGATTATTTACTGTCTGCTTACAGAACATCTTAAGTCGTTTTGCAGAGGGAATCACTTTCCTGTTTAGTGCAGTGGCTTTGTAAGCTAATGAGGGCAGAGCGTGAGCCACAGGCAATGATGCTGCAATATTAGCTGTGACAGGGAGCTTGATCATAATTATCTTAACGAGGATAGGGTTAATTACAGTGGAAACTTAAAGTTTTTTCTGTTTGAATGAGGTGGCACTGAATACGTTGTGATGTTTTGTCGGTTTGATGTGACTTTGGAAATTGCAATGGAAATCTCTTGGCAGCACTTGCTCTCCTCTGGGAGCATTGTGAGCCCTGTGATGAGGTAACTGAGATGGTACCTGTAGGTGAGATAATGGGTGGATTTTCTGTCATTGCAGCAGGGAAAACCTGCAGTACACCTTAGTGATGCTGATTAGCTTTCTGAAGCTAGGGAAAACAGCTACTTGCCACTGCCCTTCAGCACTGGTTCTGTTGTGGTGGTAGGGTCATGTGCTTGTTTTAATAAGCCAAGAAGTGGAGACGTTTCCTCTGCTGTGAACTATGAGAAAGCAGGCCAGATTTAATTTTAGGCTGGTTCTTTTTCTCAGGGGAATTCCCTTATTCAATACTTTTCATCTGCAGTGTTTCTGTGCTTCTTACTATGCCATGTGGATGGGTACACGGTCCTAGCCTATTTTATAGTGGACTTATAAGAAGATACAGTACATTAATGTAACTATCATACTCTAAAGATAAATGCTGGTGTTTTCTACTAACTTCTACCTCAGCTTCTCTGAATGCTTTCTATGTACTAAGTCACAACTGTAATTCTTTCTTATGTAGGTGGTGTTATCCTTCATCTGCAAATGGGAAATTGAGGCACGTAGAAATTATGGAATAAATTTCAGCAACTCACCTTAAACTTATTGCACAGATTGTACTTACAATGTTTTTTTTTTGTTGTTTTGTTTTGTTTTGTTTTGTTTTTTTTTAATCTCAGAGTGAAACTGCTTGGCAATATTTACTTATATGTTATGATGATAGATGTTTTTGCCCTGGATTTTAATTTTTAAAAATCAGTTTAAGGAGCAAAAACCAGAATTCTATGAATACTGGTCTAAAATATGGATGTAAATTTATGTTAATATTTACACCTTCTCTCTGTACTGTGTCAGCCCCTCTCATCTCTCTAGGAGCTGAATTTAGCTGATTAAATCACCAAGTGCACACTACCCCGATGACATGAAAACAACAATTAATAAGCAACCCTCTGTGTAACACAGCTCCTTTTTAACTGAACAGCTAATAACATTACATGGCAAAAATTATCAAAACTAGACAGGTGTAAGGAGATTTGTGCACAATTTCCTCTGCCTATCGATGAAACCAGTACCCTTGTATTCAGCCTAGGCTTGTGAAAGAAAGGCTGTTTCAATAGGCAACTCCCTCTAGTGTTTCAGGGCCTTTTGTCCCACTTCATGGCTTGTCATTTTGTTTTATGCCTTCCCTGCAGCAGTTTTGGATGTGTGCTTTCTTCTCTTTGCCCGTTGCCAACCGTTTGCCGATTCTTATGATAAGAGTATTATATTTGCATAACATAACTCAGGAACAATGTGTATTTTGATGCTGACATTGACCAGAGCCCAAACAATGTTTTTTCACAAAGGACCTATTAACATCCCATAAGGCTCTGTGGTGTTGACAAGGAGGTGGCCTTCTCTGAACTCCTTTGGCAAGTCAAAGTCTTACACTAAAATGTGAGGTTTGGAAATAATCCACTATTTATATAATAAAGATTATTTAAAGGGAATTTACTGAACTAGGTTTGTCAAATAAACTGAAATGAAAAACTCATAACAGCTTGATAAACTCGCAGCTGCTTCCTCTAGATTATTTTGCCTTTTAAAGGTACTTGGGGGAAAGCACTGTCTGAAATGTTCACTGATCTCTCTTCTGATCTTGACTTTGGCAAAACAAAGTTTGTTATGACCCCTTCACTGAAATAGCTACTCAGTCCAGCAGCTCTCATCTATGGATGGGTTATGCAGGCCGAATTGAGCTTTTCCAGAAGAGCTTTTTAAGTGCAAGTGCAAAAATATGACTGCTACTCTGATGGTTGTTCTGGTGTGTTTAGAATGGAGGCTTTTGCTCTTGCAGCTTCGGAAACTAGTCTCAATATATCATATAGATATGCCATAGGGTGTAGGCTTAGTGAATTGTCTTCAGGTTTGGCTGTCCAGCACCAAAATTGCATTAATAATAGTGGCAACTCCCTTCTAGAATGCCAAGTCAACTAGGTCTGAAGTACTCTGGAGTCCTTAGATTGGCATATACTTTTCTTGTGTTGTGATAAGAGTCACTGAAATGTTTATAATTTAGTGTATAATAGTTCAAAGGTTCCAAACTTGATTTTCCAGGAGAAAAAAAAAAAAAGGAAAAAAAAAAAGCATTGTCTGAATGCTCTGTGATTTATGTGATCAGGATGTTGCATCTAGAAAAACAGTATTTTTATTATTGCGACAACAGATGAATGCTATGTTGTCTAATTAGGAACACATAATATTTGTATTTTCCTCCAGTTATAGTGTCTGTAGAACTCTTTAACAGGGACCTTAGCTGGATTTTGATCTTTGCCAAAAACTGGGGAGAGTGAGGAAATCCCTTTGGTATAAATGTCACTGGAAAGTGAATAAATAGTATAGACCTTATTCCCTTATTCATCACATGTTATAAAACAGCCAAGAGATACAGTGATGATCTTCCCAGTGGTAGGCATAGTAGATCAGCTGTCAAGTCATGCAATCTCCGCATATCTTTAGGTGTCTGGTAGGTGAATGAGCTGTGAATGTGTCTGTGCCTATGATCTGTATACCATGCCTCTTACTTGATTAATGTGTGGGTTTTTTTCTTGCTGGAATGTGCAAGCATTAAGAATTGAGTTTGGAATAGATGCTTTAACAAGGTGCCTAAGTGTTCTTTTAGATTTTTGTTTTGTTTTTTTTTTCCTCCTTATACTGTATTATCAGGGGAATGAATACCTCCAGAATCCTGTTTATTTACAATCCATCATTTCACTTCCATGTTGTGAAATGCTCCTTTTTAAAGCTGCTTTCTGCAGTCTGACCTGTGGCTTGATAGTGGGACAGAAAGTTCCAAGAAGAAAGTAAATGCCTTTTCTGTCTGGAGTAATTCTGCATTTTATTTTGTAGAGAACATTTTATGTTGTTTGCAGAGACTCAAGGAGAAGCAAATTAAGTGGTTAATAAAAAGGAAAAAAAAATCCTTTTTCCATTTCCTATTATTGCATGTAGGGTAACTGCTAAGAAATGATACTTGAAGTTGTATTTATTATTGTTAGCGGGGTATGATATTTCTTGGCAGAAATGATGGATGACAACTTAAATTTGTGTCCAGGGAATGAAGGTGAACTGTGACAGAGTTATTTATCTTGGGAATGGAGGTTAGGGTCAGGCGAGGCTGGGTGCCTGAAGGCACAAGACATTGACAAATTCATCCTGCAGGCCCCATATCTGAAGCCTTTTGTTTTGGATCCTGGCTACTCACTAAGTGACCCCCATCCTTCATCCTGCCAGCATGTGAAGGATGTGTTGCAGTGCCAGCACTCCCTTTGCCACTAATGCTTGTCATTCACTCTTCTGACAGGCCCAAACCAAAACTATTCCCACTCCTGAAAGGGAAGGTTAAAATATTTATTTCAGCTCATAATGGCCTCCCTGATTTAGTGGAGTATCATTTTTCCTGTTGCCTTTGTCATTTGCAGGTCACTAGAAGGACTGAAAACATTCAGTTACTTGGAAGAGCTGATCTTGGACAACAATCTACTCGGAAATGACCTTCTGCTACCCAGGTTACCCCACCTCCACACCTTAACGCTCAACAAGAACCAAATATCCTTTCAAAGAAATACCTGCAAAATGTCAAATGAGTTTTATGTGTCAGCCAAATTAAAGTATGTGAAATATAGTTCATGTGCAGACAAAGCATTCTCTCGCTTGGCACCTGGAATACTTCATAGTAATTTATTATAGGTCATTCATAAATGAAATGCACCATTATATCTTCCTGTTGCTCCATTTTAGTGAGAGATCTAAGTTATGGCTCTGAAGAAATCTTTTTTAATAGATAAAATAGAGAAAGAAAATAATGTCAGTGCTACCGGTGTGCTGCAGTTCCTGTGTTTGCTTGGGGTTCTGTTGCAGGCTGACCTCTAGTGGAATAGAGGGTGCAATGAAATGATATCAAGTTTTTGTACCTCAATAGCTCTTAAAAGTAAATAATAATAAAATAAAATAAAATAATAATAATAATAATAATAAATTTAAAAAAAAATGAAAAAGCAATCAAAAATGAAGTTGGTATTAGGCACAATTTGGTAACTGCAGCCATTAAATTGAGTCACTATATTCTTGGTGTTCCGGCTCTATATAATTCATTTGAAGTGCTACTCAAACCATATATTTAAATATTTAGATGCATGGTTAAATCCATTCATAACCAGTCAGGCACTTCTCCATATATCTGAAGTTAGTGCATGCCTACTTAAGTTTATTCAGAATAAATATTTCAGCATTTGCCTGAATACTATGCTGATTCAGAGACCCCAATCGGTAGGCTTATATGTAATGGTCTGTAAAAGCTAATTATCTACAAGGACTGGACATGGACTTGATTATTAAATCATTTCTCATGTTTTGACCCTTCTGGAGATTTGAAGATGTGTAATTTATGATTTTACAAAAGTGAAGGGCAATCAAATTTTGTCCAAAAGGCCAACTGAGGCCTACAGAGCACAGGCTGTGAAAACATTCTCCTTCTAATTGCAGAGTGAGGACAAGGCTGCTCAACTGCAGGCTTTTGTTTCAGACAGTGTAAACAGAGAGCAATTTACCTCCTACTAAAGCAAAATCCTCTTACTGAGGAGAGAAGTAATAACTACAGGTTCTATGATTTCTGCACTTATTTTTGACTTTATAAATAAATAAAAATCACCAGAGCAGTTTATATACTCAGTGGCACTACTGGAAATTTGTCAAGTGTCTCTTGAACCATAAGAGTCACCACTGTTCAAGGTAAGTGATAGATTTCTGGTTAATACCAGGACGCTTCTGGTCACTTTGAATAATTCGGTATTATTATTTGCTGCCACATGTAAAATCTGAGTTGGTCATGCTTTGGTAAAGTATGTATAATAACATTTTTGATGATGCTGTGGATGTCTGATGTGGCATATTTCCATCTACAAAGCAGGATGTGTGAATTTGGTGGTAGGATCCCTGAGTGTGTATATGCAAGTGTGTGGGATAGGAAGCAATCAAGAAAAAACTTTGCAATTATCAAAAGGAGGGCAGGCATATTAAATAAGAATTAGTTGAACAAATCAGGAGAAAAAATTTACTGTTAGCAGTAAGCTTTGAAGAGGTTCTGTTGGGTTTCACAGGCATACTTAAAATCAAGTCAGTAAACTCTCAATGTCAGTGATAGAATGATAAGCAGGGTTTGACCTATCCAGATATTTTAAAAATTCAGACTAAAAACTATAAAATTGGAAATTTGGGAGTATGGAGCTACCCACATTATAGATACAGTGTATATACTTTTTGTAGCATGTTGCCAATAATTTAAGAGAGGAGTTGCAGAAGTGCTTGTTTGATGGCAGTGGTTGCAATTCTCAGTGATCTCTCAAGGTGTTAATCAGAGATCTTTGATGAAGTTTTGCTCTTTCTGCACTTCATCCTTGAAAACAGTTGTTCACAAACGTAACTACTGCCAAAAAGCGATGGCACGATTAAGGTGTGACTGTGAAGAGAAGGAATATTTCTCTCTGGTAAGAGAGAGCTTATAAAAGTCTGGTAAAGATATATGATCACTTTTTTATTGCAGGTCTATACATTCCATTTGAAAAGTCACAAGCAATATGTTTATGTCAACTGAAAGTAGAGTCGCAAATAAACCAAGAAATTGATGGGCAATCATAGAATCATAGAATGGCCTGGGTTGAAAAAAAACATAATGATGATCTAGTTTCAATCCCCCTGCTACGTGCAGGGTTGCCAACCACCAGACCAGGCTGCCCAGAGCCACATCCAACCCAGCCTTGAATGCTTACAGGGATGGGGCATCCACAACCTCCTTGGGCAGCCTGTTCCAGTGTGTCACCACCCTCTGTGTGAAAACTTCCTCCTAACATCTAACCTAAACTTCCCCTGCCTTAGATTAAAATCATTCTTCTTTGTCCTATCACTGTCCGCCCTTGTAAACAGTCATTCCCTCATAGAATCATAGAATGGCCTGGGTTGAAAAAGACCGTAATGATCAATCTTGAAACCTATTCTCAAATTCCAGTATCACAATGGAAAGCATGGCTGCACATTTATCCGTGTTCACAGGACTGTGTTTAGCCAATGTATTAAGAGCCATAAACTTATTTGCCATAACTTAAGCTTGCTCTGCACTACACCCTGATGTCAGCCCAGATGGGGTTAATAACGCACCAGTGTTTGGTTAGTGCTGAAGGACTGAGTGGGGCCATTTGGCGGGAAGAGCCTCCATGATGGCGCTGAGCAGGGCGTAGCCGCACTGTGATCTGTGCTGGGCTGCAGATTGATCATGCCTGAGAGAAAAACAAAAATATTTCACAAGTGGGAAATGCAGAGCTGAGGCTGAACGGTACTAATGATAAATGCATTGCTTATGGCAAAGGTGCTAAATGTGCTTCAGATTTAGGGATGATAGGTTTCTGAATATTTGAACATGGCATGGATTGAGTATCTGAACTAAAGGATGTCCCGGTAAGTATTTCTGATTATCATCTATCTACACAAAGTTTTTGTCCTAATGCATAATTACAAACCATAGATTATAAATTATTGTGCCTGTGCTTGTTCCTATGTTGTCCTAAAGTGCTTGAAGACCTAGAAGTCCCAATCTGTGACCAAAATCTCATTGTGTTAAGTGCAGAGGACTTGATGTTTAGATTGAGTGAATACGTTAAAGACAAAATTGTCTCCCATTATCTATAGATCTCTATCTCCACTAAACAAAGATATGAGCTGAAATGGTACAGCAGTATTCCTGCATTTGGTCCTGAGAACTCTCTATGTGACACTGACAAATATGGCTGATTTTGAGTGTGGCATACGAGAGAGGTACAATACCTGATGAAACAAAAACCTCAATGAATTCTGCAAAATGTTTTAAATTTACTTGAGTCTTGAGCCTTTTTTTTTTCCACTCTTCACCATCCTCAAGACCACCTTTTTTCTTGCACAATGTACCTGAAACAAAAAGTAAGTAATGTGAATGTATGATGCTAAATGTCTGCAAAAGGATGAGGTAGTACAGGCAATTCATTCTCCTCTTCTAGAGCAGCAATTGGACAAATTTAACTCCAGTTGTCAGAACTTTTAAAAATGATGAGCCACTGCATTTTTTTAAATTATCTTTGTGTTTTCTTGGGAACCTTAAGCAAAAACTGGAAGCAACAGTGTTAAAAGAAAATCTTTGAAGTAAATGATGTTTTTTGAATTGATGTATCTCTCTAGAGAACAGAAAAATAATTTGCTTGTAGAAATAGAAGCATTCTAATGTTCTCAACTTAGAATAGAACAGTTCAGCTGGAAGGAAACATCACAGATATCTAGCCTAACTGTGTGACAACTATGGGGAAAACCAAAAGTTAGAATCTAACATTGATGGTACTATCTAAATGCCTCTAATTGTATAACTAATGACATTGAAATATGTTCTTAAAACTTGCCACCTAGGAACCCTGGGCTTGCAGAAAAATTTGGAAATTTGCAAAGAAATCTAATGCTACTCCACTAGACAGAATATCCTCAGTATTCAGCAGGTAAGAAGCTCACCATAAGATGTATGGACTTAATTAATTACCACCTGTGCTGCAACTTTTCCTTCTTGAGTGAGGTGGTTTTAAAATCAGTGAGCAAGGCCCTATCTCAGGGCTCTGACTGCCTATCAGACAGGGCTCAAGCTAGAATGTGGCATATAAATGACTGTATGTGGCATCCTGTTGCAGAAGAGGAAGACTTGCATAATGCAAGCTATTTCTGTGGTTATCCAACCATGAAGACCTAGCACATTCTAATGGAAAAGCGTTCAGGTGGCAAAGATCTTTTCATACTGCATTCAGAGGAGAATTGGTAACTTCTGCTTCAAGGCTATTTGCCTGTAGAATCACTTGTAATTGCTGCAACATATTTGTGATAAAGTTAATTAAAGCAAAAGATGTTTCAAATTTGAAAAAATACAGGTATCTTGCTTGTTTAAGACTGGTAGAATGGCTATCCAGCTGTTTTAATTTCATATTGATTACAGAACCTGCATGACATGGTTGACAAAAGACTTCTGAGTGACAGTTTTTGGTCTTCCTCTACGGTGGTCTAAAATGTTATGTTTACCTAGAGAACATTAGAAATATCACATTTCATAAATATTTTGAACATAAAAGTGATTGCTCTTTGCTTTATCTCTTTGCTTCCAAGAACTTCTGAAAGCTGTAATCATCGAAGGTCATAAATGCAGATAGCTTTTCCTCAACTATCTGGGCAAAAAAATTGGCAAGGCAAAATACAAGCTTTTTCAAAGAAAATAGTCGTACAACTTGCAAAGCATTGAGAATGAAGAGTTATTAGTTTCCTTAGAAGGTCAATTAATTTGAGTGTGTGACTGTTAAAAAAAAAAAATATGCTAGCAGTAAAAAAAAAGTTTACAGAAAAAAATTGCAGTTTTCTTAATGATCTTTGACCTATATTCATGGAAAAGAAAACCAGGTGGTGAGATATGAAATGCATATTGGCTAGTTTATTTGCACAGGTCTATGTAGAACAGCATTTTAATGCAGTTATATTTAACTTAAAAACTGTTACCAGAGGTTGTTTCTGTTACCAAAGGTTTGACCAGCAAGTCATATTGCTCATACTGTTCAAAATTATTGAAAAAGTAATTTTATGAACCAAAAATAAGAGAGTGAGAGAAAATAGTACGGAGTATGGGGGATGTTCAGCATCATTCCTGAGTTCTTATAACAGCTAGACAGTTACAAACCAAGTTAATTCTTAGCCAAAGAAGGGAGGTGCATTATTTGCCTTGAGCATTTGGCTTGCTCTTTTTGCTTTCTGAAAAACTTCAAAACTATGTTACTGAGTAGAAGTCAGTGAAAGTGAACAACACAGATCATGCTTATTTGTAGGATATTTTTGATTGCATAAATTTTGCACCTAGAGTTTTATTATACTGCTTAGCAGGTTAACTGGGCCAACTATAGCACTAGATTTTTCAAGTAACACTATTGATAATGTTTTGGTGCTACTGTAGCATTTATTTTATTTTTTTTTAACAGAAAGTAAGCTAATCAGTTGTGTGTGCTTGTGCATATGTTTGCTGTGAACAGTCTACTATAAATATATAAGCATGTTTGTGTGCATACATGTAAATAATTAGGAGGTTTTAAAAAGTTGATCTGAGTATGGAAGAACCAGTTCTCTTAAGTATTTTCCTAATATAAAATGAAAACAGCACAAGAAATCATAATCTTCTGATGAGGATGGAAATTTAAAATACATTTAGTAGATTTATGTTAATTGTTCATGGAGGCCAGGTTGTATTTTTGGAGGGGATTATCACTGTATCATTGCTAAGAATTAACTTGTTATCTGAAGGGTAGGCAAGCTTAGAAAAAAAAGAAAACTTACACATTTTTATTTTGATCAGTGTTCTTCGGAAAGAAAGGCATTTATAGACTGGTAATGACAACAGTTGAATGAAGGTGGTATGCCAAGACATTTTAATTATTTTAACAGAGACAATTTTGAATATTTTTCGAACAACAGAGACTACAGTATAAATATTTCCATCACTGCTACGTATTTACCTGGTGATCAATGATACTGCCTTCAGAAGAATGAGTTCAGGGTTTCTGTCATTGAACTTTAAATAAAGAAAATTCCCCTTGCACTGTGCATGGATTTAATTGTGGCATTCATTTTTGGAGAGAGTAGAGATGAGGTTGATCTTAGCAATTACACAGCAGAGTTTTGCAGTTCTTTGGCTCTGGTTGCATCATGATGGCAACAGTGAATCATGAACAGGAAAAAGAAAATTAAATTTGCAACTTGCTTTTGATTTTCTTCCTCTGTATTTTTAGCATTGTTTGAAACACTTTATAGTTTTGGTGGCCTTCCACAATTTCTAAAGGAAAACAAATATATGACCTAATTAACTAAATGCTGCATTAGAAGTACTCTATGACTTATGTCTCATCTCTGAAAAATACTTAGTCATGAGAATTTGAACAGTTCTTCAGTTATTTTTTCTCCTACCTGCTTGTGAGGAGTAGCTGTGATGGCAGGTAAATGGGACTCCTTGGAAAAATATTCTGTACCTTCAATTGTCTTTTTTTTTTTTTTTTAAAGGAGGAAGGAAAAAGAGTTGAAATCCCACATAACAGAAGTTTTAATTAATGAGTGCAATTATGTTAGTTGTTATATGATGGCCTATTCTGGCAACTAAAAGTTGACTATCACAACCCACAGGTTGATTGGTGGACAAGTGTTCTTATTATTCTGTGATTCTGGGGCTGTTCCAAGTTTGCAAATCTTTAACTTTTACATGAATTAATGACCTTCTCTGTTTCAGATGATTATGTCTGATTCTTGGGTTTTCTCATGTTTCTGCTCCTGTTGCAGCTGAAATCAAAATAATGCTAGGGTGCTAAGTATCTATCTAATTCTACAGAGGAAAATGAGTAAATGATAAGAAAGAAAATGTCTGGAGGGCAACTACTACATGGTAAGATGTTGATGTGTGCTACTTGTCATCTTGTTTGAGAGAATTTTTATAGGAGAGTATCTGTATCAAAAAGCAATGTGATTTGGATGTGAAATATTAGAATCTAGACACTAATTTCCATCTTTGGGGTGGATTTACATATTCAATATGCAGGTTATTAACTACTATTTAACCAAGAGCCTTAGTGAGTATGGTATGTCTCCCCTTTGCTTTCTGCAGGACTAGGATTTGTGGTGTTAATCTAAGTTGTTATATATTAAATATCCAAAAGTATTTTGATGTTTTCCTGTAACTCTGTGTGGTCAAATGTGAGTTAGAAGACATCTGTCTTAATCAGTAATCACTAACTTTGAGGAGAAAAAATTCTAACCCAGAAAAAGCTCTACTGAATTGCAATCGAAAATCCTAAATTTTTACTTCATAAAAGAATCAAAAAAGTGTCTTTGTTTTTTTTTTTTTGTTTGTTTGTTTGTTTGTTTTTAATAGGGAATGGACAGATAAGATGTAAGCTTTGCAACAGCTAACCCCCTTTGTGTCATTGCTGTAATTGAAATAACTGCTTTTCTGCTTTTTGTAACAATAAATTACTTATCTAATGAAACCTTTGTGCAATTTAATCAGTCCTGAAAGAAATTGTTTCTCCTGGCTGAGGGAGGGTTCTAGATGCAAGCACTCCTCTAACAGTCCTTGAAAATTTAAAAAATCTTTAGTTGAACATGTGTGGAAAAAGAGTTTGTGACATTGCAGCAGGGTGAGGGAGGTAATCCTGCCCTTCTACTCTGTGCTGGTGAGACCTCACCTGGAGTACTGCATCCAGATGTGGGGTCTTCTGTACATGGACCTGTTGGAGCATGTCCAGAGAATGGCTACAGAAATGATCCAAGGGATGGAGCACCTCCTCTACAAGGTCAGGCTAAAAGAGCTGGGGCTGTTCAGCCTAGTGAAGGGAATGCTCCAGGAGACCTGATAGCAACCTTTCAGTATCTAAAGGGGGGACTATAAGAGAGAAGGGGGCAGACTCTTGAGCAGGATCTGTTGTGTCAGGACAAGGGGAAACAGTTTCAGACTAAAGGAGAGAAGATTTAGGATTGGTTAGAAGAAAAATGTTTCTTACAGTACAGGTGGTAAAGCACTGGAACAGTTTGCCCAGAGAGGTGTTAGGTGCCTTGGAGACCCTCAAGGTCAGGCTGGACAGGGCCACAAGCAACTTCATCAAGCTGTAGGTATCCCTGTTCATTGAAGGGGAGTTAGGCTAGATGACTGCTAAAGGTCTTCCAACATTCCAACTCGCAAATGATTCTACGATTCCATAGCCTTCCCATCAAATTTGCTTCCTTCCCAAAAGAGCCATGAAAATAATTTGTTTTAAAAGTGTATGTGTGGCTAGAGGTCTAGAAATGAAGATGAGAATTTTGGTGGTGTCTTTATCATGGCTAAGATGTGTTGTATTATGTGATGCTTCATGATTCAGTTTTTCTTATGGTCTAGTTGATGATTTGATGCAAAATATTTAAGTGTAATTTCCGCAGATATTTTGGTAGAGAACATAGCTTTGAGTATGACTGTGCTGTTTTTTAATATGCTAAAATTAATAATTGTCAACATGATCTTATGATTGGAAATAAAATGAAATTTCAGAACAAAAAGAAGACAACGTTTTTAACAGTGAAGCTGCTCTTTTCATTCTGTATTGCTTCTGTTGCCCTTAAGATATTGAGGTGAAGAAATAAAGTAAATTCCATCACCTAAAAATAGCAAAGATAACAGAAACACATAAATCAAGTATAAATAATAGCAACACAAGTGAACTGAGGATTTAAAATAATAGTTGTGGTCTGTAACAGCAGGAGTGGATAAAAACAAAACAGTGAAATACCCTTAATGGTTTTGAATAATTACTACTATTGTCTAAACCAGTCAGGTTTTAAGCTCCGAAAACTACATACACGTATGTATGGCCTCTTTTTTTTTTTAGAATTTCAAGTTTTGCATGTAAATTGAACCAAACAAGAATGTGTAGCGTGATACTCTGAGACTGCACTTCAACAAAAATTTACTCTAGTTGTTCAATCAGTATATTTCAGTATAGTTGAATATTGTTATGCTTAAACCTAAGCAGTGATATCCAATATTGCAGTGGTTGAAAGATTAATTTCTGCTTGTTTGTTTGTTTTAGTATATTTTACAATATCAAAGATGTGTCATCATTTATGTTCTGAGGAACATACTTGAGTTGAAATGTCTCATAACACCAAAGTATAAGGCTATTTTAATGAAAGATATGCTTTATGGACTTCTAAACTTCATGTATAAAATACATATTGAATTCTTTAAGTTGCTTTTCTAGAATCATTTATTTGCATGTACTAATTGAGTAATTACAAATGTGTTGCTGTGGCACTAAAAGTATTTATATTCTGACAGTGAAAGCGGGTTGTTGTGGTTTGACTTAAAAAAAAAAAACAAACTCGTTTTCCAATGGACTGAATATATTAGTGATGAATGTTCTGTGAAACTGTTTGTTTCCATGCTGGAAAAGTTTCATGGCAATAGCAATTGCTAGCCATTTTACCACACAGCATCCATCATTTTGTCAAAGTTTTAATGTTCTGTAGTGAACCACCTAGGAAAGAAAAGACTGACAAAACAGCCAAATTCTTTCATTCCATGCCAACAAACTGACTAAAGTTTATCCCTGTTTGCCCTTGGAACAATTAATGTGACATTTCTCCGAATGCCATACTAAATTTGATTGTCAGTTATTGAAATGTATGTTTAAATCAGCAGTGATGCAACTCTAAATGCTTTTCTTCAGACATATCATTGAATCCTTAACACACAACCTTTGACACATAACAGAATTAGAAAGCCTTTTGGATCATTTGGCTGAAGTTGTGCCCTCACTACAGTATCTCAGTTTGCTTGGAAATGTTGCCTGCCCAAATGAATTGGTCTGCAAAGAAAAGGATGAAGATGACTACCAGAGGTACAGGTTAGTGTCTTTGATTATAAATACAAAGTATGTCAGCTTTGTTTTTAATACTGAAGAAATACTGAACTAAATCCAACTCATAGTCCAGAACAAATAATTTACTCTCTCTTCTGAAGGCAGTGTGCCATGTTCTGCCATGAAACACCTATGAATTTTAGTAACCCAGTTTCAATGCGATCCCTCTTAGAAAACATTTAGGGAACTATTTCAGTAATGTTTAGACTGAGCTGAGCAGGTTTACACAGGCTTTCCTGAATGAGGGTGCTCGTATGTATTTACCTATGTCCTTTAAGGCCAAGGTAAGGCAGCAGTTATATATACTAGTGGTAACAGCTAATAAAAAATAATAATAATAATAAAAAAGTCACTGTACTCAGTCTGATTATGGTGAGGCATTTCTTCTATTAGAGGTATCAAGACACTATTAAAGAATAAAGAAGAAAGGACTACTGTATTGTGGTTTTTTACTCAGAACTGCTGGTGTTTAGAATCAAATCAAATAGGCTAGCCATCTCTATAATGTAATTTTAATGAGCTAGATTACACATAAGGTGGTTGTGAGCATAGGTCCAAAATTATGGAATTTCTGCTGAAGTGACAATTTTTCATAGCTGTAATTGTTAGACAAGTAAGACATTGATTATTATTTTTACAAATAATTTTTTCTTGTTCACATCTGATTCAAGCTTCCAGTCTTTGTGTACTTGCACTTGAGCTGAAAATGGCTCTCTGTGAGGCAAGTTGCAGCCACGAAGTACTGGTCAGTGTGCTGACGACCTTAGACAGAGACTAAGCTCACTTCTTGTTAGCAGATCACTTGGAATGTTGAGAGTTACAAAACTCCTGAAAATGTGTTCATGTAATCCAAAGTATTCTGTAGGAGCTAGTATAAAAACAGCACAAAGTGGAGGAGACCAAAAGCAGATTTATTAGGAAGCTGCATGAATTGGATACAGCAGGTTATTGCTCATAAATACTGTAGATTAAAACAGCAGCAGAGTTTTTCTGGGTGCTGATACATTTTTTTACTTTGTTCCACATTTTTGAAAAGGATTTCTTGGTTATCATTAATCTAAAGATTTTTACCTCCTAACAAGTCTACTTTTAAATCTAACATATCTAGAGTATTTTAGTTTTCAACAAGTAGAGCAGCTAAAATTTAATAACATATTTTCCCATTGCTTTTGCATTTATGTGGAAGCTATGTCTACTATCCAGCTTACAGGAGTCTAACAATGCTGTCTCTGTATAAATTTATGTGACATTTGCAGTGGAGAATTGCTTAAAAATGAATGATATTTCTTCAGTTTACTGTTTTTCACTTTAAGTATGTTTTCTGACAATGTCTCCTATTAATCATTTAAGCAAAAATAGTACCTTAAAGGAGCCATTCAGAGGCAAGAACCTATGGTTCATTTAGTGCTGTCTGAAAAAATTCTTTATTGATTGACATCCTCTGTGGTTATGTGATGTAATATTTATAATATGTCATGCAGCCATACATCAAAACAAGCGTGTCTGTTGTTTCATTTCAATGCAAAATGTTGATTTCAGGGAGGTCAAGGTAGTTTTAGGTCATATCATGGCAAACCACCGTGTCAAAAGTGTGAAATGATTGTATTTATGCATCTGCTGGAAACTGCAACATTGCCTCCATTTTCTTTCCTCTCAACTTTTCAAAAACTTGGGTATTTTTTCCATATAAACTGTGTTAATTAAAGCTTGTTCAAGAAAGATGAATGGACTTCCAATTTGTTGAATGATTTATGGTTCTGCTGCTGTAATTAATGCTTCCTGATAATTTTCCATGATTTTGTTACATTATATAACTTGAATTTGCAAGACAGCATTACATTCAAAAGCAAACAAACAAAAATGTTCATGTGAACACACATGTATAAATACTCATTTTGTATGCATATAATGTGTGTGTGTGTGTATGTATATATAATTTGTCTTTACAGCAGTATATTTACGTAATGAATAATGATGAAACAGATTAAAAGAAGTCTACTAGTTATTCAGTTCTTAATACGTGTTCAGCAGAAACTTAGGCATTTTCTTCCTTTCCCAAAATTTACAAATTTAACTCTACAGAATAGATGTATGGCTACTAATCTTAAAAGCAAATACTTGTATGGTTCGATTTGGCATTTTTTTTCAGGTTCTGAAGTAACTTTTTTTTTAAAGCTTTTAGAGAAATTTTGTCACATTGAAAACATCAAAATAGTGTATTTCAATGAACCTCAATGAAATAAACATTTTATCAAAAACTTTAACTCTTTTTTGCAGTGACCATTGGAACCACAGCTTCATTTCTCATTGAGCTTTAATTTCATTCCTACTGAGTTCAATTAGAGTTCAGGCTATTTAATTCCTCAACCAGAATGAGAAAGGTGCTGGAAATCAAAGCTTTACTTAATCTTTACATTCCAGCAAACTGAAAAGTCCTCTAAAACCTAAAAAATTTCAACTGTAAAAATTATGCAAAATTAAGTTTTTAAAACTTCATTAATTTACAAATATATTAGGAACAGAAATAAAAGGATTATTGTATCTTAAAAAAAAAAAAAAGAAGAAATAATTAGAGTTTATCAGAAATAGATAACATGGAAAACTATGTTTTTTGTTGAGGTGTAAGGATCTGGATCATCAAATAATTCACCATTTCAATGAGCAGTTCAGTGCTATAGCTCTTGTCTGTTTTTGTTTTTTTTTCATTGCATATAGGTTTTATCCAAAAACACTGTGACTTTCTTTCAAAACAATTGCTTTTTTTTCTTAGAAACATAGTAACATTTGAGTAAGTTATTTTTTGGGAAAAAATAATAAAAAAGAAACAGTAAAGTGTTCTGTTTTGTTTTCCATGCCCTGTTATTTCTCCTTACCTTCAAATGCGTAAGAGAAAAAATTGATGACATTCCTGTTTGTTAATGAAATTTTTTTTGGAGGGGGAACAAAAATGGAAAGCTTCATTCAGTGGTATTTTTTTAACCAAACCTGTTTGGTTCCTTTTTAAAAGTGTTGGGTTGTTTGTTTGCTTGTTTTTCCACCATTATAAAAGTGCTTTAATTTATTTCTGTAAGAAAATATTGTGCTATCACTCCTACTTGTTTGTATTTTTTTTTTTTTTTCCAAGCTTTCCAGTTTTGAGAGATAATATTTTGCGCAAGTTTATCTTGGGGTTGAGAGTAAAGGAAAATTTCAGGAATTTCTCCTCACTGCTGGAATTAAAATCAGAAAATACAATGGCAATAGGAAAGACTGAAAATCTTTTGCCTTAAACGGGAAGCAACAAATACACAGAAAAACCACTTGCAAAACAGTACATGTTCTAAAATAACCTATTCTACAATCTCTACTTTGAAGATTGGGTGAAAGCACAGGTCACGACCTGGAGATCAAAGTAACAGAAGTCAACACAGTAATTGCTGGTTGCTTCTCTTGTACCCGCACTTGGTCAGTCCTGTGGGTGTATTGTTTGCTGTGAAAACTTCAAACAGGGTGTTACTGAACTGTGAAAAATCATCTGGGTCAGAATGTATTACAAAGCATTTGCTAATGCTGCAGGTGACCTCACCTATTTTCATTAAAATGATATGATTGTGAAGGATGTATACCATGTGTGAAGTTTTCAGTGCTTGTTCATTCTTTGCTCCTTATTGACATTTCCTGGAATGATGCATTCATTAAGAGCTGTTGACATGGAAACAAGGGCAAGGGGAAACAAATGCCTGAGTTCATTTTAAATTAGCTTAAAAGTGCCTATATGAGATATGCTATCTTTGGCAAGGGGAGCAAATGATGATAACCTTATGAAGTTCTCTTAAGATACAGCAGAAGAAGGGAAGAACAAGCATTTTGAATGGATTACCTTTTCAAATTCAGCTATTCCTATCCCAAAGGTTTGATTCTGTGAAATGCTAGGACATATTATAGATTTTTCAGCTTCCTTGACATTTATAAATATACATAGCATATTTATAACCTTCTCATTGCTTTTAAATAGTCTTTTTAAAAATTTTAATGGTAATAAAAATACATTTTCAAGAAGAGATAGGAGGCTTCATGTGTCAGTTCAACTGTCAATGAACTGAGTAATGCAGTTACCTTTTGGAAAGAGAAATTGCAATTTGTAGTATTGTGATGTATATTTTATGTACTTCTTGGTATGTTTAGGGGATTTCCTTCTGTCTGTATAATCTATGAATTTATGCTACTTTACTATTTACACAAGACCTTATAATTTCTACAGTACTTGGAAGAAAACTGTATTTAACAGGTATCAAATAGCTACACAACCTCCATCTAAGATTAGCCATTGTAAAGATTTAGGAGCAAAAGCTACTATAATTTGTTTTTATCAGATAGGTAAATTGATGTCCAGAATGCTCCAATTTGTCCACGCTCACGCAATAAGTCAAAACATAACCATGGTTGTTACATATATATAGGTAGAATGTTCTAATTCATAGAGATTCCTGTACTGAAGTAGAGCAGAGCAGACAGTAGAGCAGATTATAATATGTGGAGGATTACATGACTGTCATCAGGTAGTGCTAAGTTTGTATTGAGGCAGTAATCCTGTAGCATCGTGCTCACTGTTCTGAAAGATGTTGGTTTAATGTCACAGAATCACAGAATTTGTAGGGGCTGGAAGATCTAGAGATCATCTAGTCCAACCTACTGCCAAAATAGGCTTCCTAGACCAGGTTGCACAGGTAGGCGTCATGATCAGACTTCCTTAATTCTGTGCTGGGAGACGTTTTGTCACAGACGGAAATGCTGCAGCCAACAATATTCTGCCTGGTGTAGGTTTTGAAACTTTTGCTGTTGGTGGTGGTGGTGGTTTTTTTGTTGTTTTTTTTGGTGGTGCACAAAAAAGAGTTATTGAAAAATCTAGTTGTTTCCTGAACTTGTTTGATCATAATCTACCTCTCCCCATTTGAATGCTGATGCAGCTTTGCCTCTTTAGGTTATTTATTATTGCTAATTTACAA